ATAGAGTTCAAAGTTTTATGCCTAATTCTTTAATAGAAAATCCTTGATGAGTGTGACTGGTGATTTAGCCAAGCTTCGGTGTTTCCTCCATGTTTTATTTTGTTCTTCTGTGTCCTCAATGTAGCTGTATAAGATTGGAAACTCTTGAAGGAAGGGAGAATGGGAGAGTGGTAGTTGCTGAAAGGAGGACATGGCTGGTGTTAACATGCTTGGGAAAAGCCATGGGGGGGGAGGGGGAGAGAGGGAGAGGAAGAGGGAGAGGGAGAGGGAGAGGGAGGGAGAGACAGAGAGAGAGAGAGAGAGAAAGAGAGAGAGAGAGAGAGAGAGAGAGAGAGAGAGAGAGAGAGAGAGAGAGAGAGAGAGAGAGAGAGAGAGAGAGAGAGAGAGAAACCTTTAGAATTTGCATGCATCTCAGAGTGGGAGTTCCAGACCATGTTGTATGTCCCTCAGTATAGTAACCTGGAATAATGGAAAAAGCACTGGTTATGGAGGCAAAAGACTTGGGTTCAGATCTTGCCTTTGATGTGACCTGTGTGACCTTGGCAAATCGTTCCTCCTTGGGCTACAGATTTTTAACTGTTAAATGAGTCAGACTATGGCTTCTAAGACTCCTCCCAGCTCTAGATTCAGTATATGACCTTGGGCAAGTCATTGACTCTGTTTTCCCATATATAAAAATGGGAGGTTGGACTCATGATGGCTTCTGAAGTCCTTGTAGCTCTAGGACTATGATCTTTTGTCTTGATGGAGGAGATGATGAATAAAATGTATACACACACACGCATAGAAACACAGCCAGATGTGCACACACATACAGAGTTCAAAATCTTTCCTGACGCGGTCTTTCTTTCTTTGTCCTTGGAACTTTCGGAGCCTCGGGCGGTCTCCCCAGTGACAGCGCGGGGGAAGGCAGTGGGGTGTTCTCTAGTGGTGAGCCCGGGTGACCCGCCCCCCTTCCCTTTTCCTTCCCCCTGCCCCAGGCCTGCTCCTCATTAAGATCTATTAGTGCAAGCCCCGAAGGCTTGGGGTGGGGCTCCTAGAATGTCCTGGCAAGAGCCCTCCCCTCAGCATCTCGACCAGAGTCCCGGTTAGATGTGGTGGGCAGACGGTTCCCGGGCTGGCCGCGCCCCTGTCCCCGCTGGCGCCAGCAGATCCCCTCCACACACTCAGACAGGGAGCTGGGCCGAGCTGCAGCGGAGGGGTTTGGACAGCCCTTGAGAAGCCAGGAGGGAGGAAGCAGAAGTGGGATGGGGAGGGGGGCTGGTGGAGTGGGCAGGGGAGCTTATTTACACAGACTACTTCACTGCTTCTCAGCTGAGCAGGAATTGGGGAGCTTGGGGGTGGGAGGAGAGGACTCTCACCCTACTCCATTCCTAACTCAAGGAATAATTAAGCATCGAGGCTTCTCGAACCCTCCGCCCTGCCGCTGTAGGGAAGGGGTAGGGGGAGAAGATAGGAAAGCGCCCGCTATGCGCCAGGCTCTGTGACTGGTGCTGGGTTTACAAAGGCAACCTTGAAGCAGTTACTGCCCTCGGGGAGCTTCCATTCTATTGGAGGACGCTGTAGAGAGGTTGGGGTGGGCCCGCATGGCCCCCAAGTCCCTGCCAGCGTGAGATGATTCCCTCGGGACATCTCCTGTTAGGGCGGCCAGCGCTCACCCGCTCTTCCCCAGGCCCCATTACATCCAGTCCCTTCCTGAATCCCAAACGGGAACGTGTAATTTCGGAAGCTGAACTGGACCTCTGTCAGCCCTGTGTTTAGTTCTATTTCTTTCCTTCCTTTTCGCTTTCCCCGTGACCTTTTCCTCCTGTCTCTGGCCTTCCTTAAAAAAGAAAACCATGACAAACTTCATCCTAAACACGGAGGCTTGCTCCGAGTCTGGAGATGGAGGTGGGTGGGGCGGGGTGGAGCCGGCTGGGCAGCCCTGCCTCTGCGGTCACTCAGCTGGAAGGGACCGGACCTCGGGTCTCCATTTGCTATGACACCCTGAGCGGTAAATCCCTGAAGACCGTGAGCTCCTCCAGCCCTGGCTGATCCTCTTTCTCTGATCCTCACTGCCTCTGCGACTTTGGGCGTTTTACATCCCCGGCCTCAGTTTCCTCATCTGTAAAGTGGCCTCTTAGGTCACTGCTCGTTCTAGATCTGAGATCCTAGGAGAGCTTTTGACACACAAAAACCTCCACCCCTAAAACCTTTCCTCCCAGGATTACAACTCTTCTGGGAGCTCCGGGGGGGGGGGCTTAAAACTGAAAGTAACAGTGTGGAGGAGTGGGCATGGAGTCAGGAAGGTCTGGACTCAAATCCTTCCTCAGCTGCTTAGTAATCGTGATGGCAAAGCAATGTGCAAATATTATCTCATTTCATCTCACAACACCCTAGGGAAGTAGGGGCTATTATTATCTGCATTTTACAGATGAAGAAACTGAGGTTAAGTGATTTGCCTAGGGTCAACAAGTGTCTGGGGCTGGATTTGAATTCAGGTCTTTCCAACTCCAGAATCAATGCTCTATTGAGCCTAGCTGTGCGACCCTGGGCAACTCTCTTAACGAACCTCAGCTTGTTCATTCATATATGGGTTTTGTAGCAGCAACCAATGAGATACTGTAAGTAAAGGTCTTCTCAAACCTTAAAGGGACAAACAAATGTTTATCATTATTATGATCAAGTCTAATCATTATTATGATCTAGTCTGATCTCTGAGGTTTGACCGAACACTTCCCCTCTAACCATCTTGAGGGTTACTGCTCTGGAGGGACCTCCAGGACCTTCCTTTACAGATGGAAAAGTGAGGCTGGGGATATGTCCGAGTCGCCTGGGCAGTTTGGGTCAGAGCCCAGATTTGAACGACAGGACCAGAGATTAAGAGAGAGAAGATGCTTCAAAAACTATCTAGTCTAGTCTGGTCTCCTCATTTTACAGGCAAGGAAACTGAGGCTCAGTCTGAGGTCATCCAGGGGAGTAGGCATCAGAGGAAGAATCTCAACCCAGTTCACCTCCAAATTCAGTGCTCTTTCCAGTAGACTGCATTGCTCACTGCCTTCATCTTATAGATGCAGGGAGAGCTTAGGTGGTTTTCCTAAGGTCAGTCAGGAGTGTGTCTGCGCTTGGCCAGCCAAGTTCCCTGATTCCCAGACTCACTCTCTTTCTACTGTACTGTACCTCTACTTGGTGTCCTCCCCGGCCCCCCAAACACTGTCTGAATGCATCTCATTGACTCACCTGAGAGCTTCCATTTATTAACTCTGTGATGCTGGAGAAGTCCTGTGCTCTCTGTGGGACTCTGATCTCCCCCTGTGAAATGAAGATTGGATTGGACCAGATTCACAGGGGTGGGGAACCTGCTGCCTTTGAGGCCACATGTGACCCTCTAGGTCCTCAAGTGCAGCCCTTTTCCTAGAAGGCTGCATGTGGCCTCGAGGCCACAAGTTCCCCATCCCTGGACCAGAGACTCTGAAGCAATCCGGGAGTTCGTGTTGATGACTGTATTTCAGTATGACTGGTTTCCTTTGGACTCCTACGTATTTCATTTTATTCTGTTAAAAACATGATTCTGAGAAGGGGTTCACTAAATTGCCAAAGGGGTCCAGGGTCCCCCAAATGGTTTAGACCATCTCCCAGTTCTAAATTCATGATCTAATTGCTTTACTTGTTTAAGCAAATTCTTTCACTTTTCTGAGCCTCAGTTTCTTCCTCTGTAAAATGAGTGGAGGGGAAAAGACCAGGGGATTAAGTCTTATCCAGCTCTGCCAGTCTGAGCTTCTCCAAGCCCTCCCTGACTTTCTTTCCCCACAACTTGAACTCAACAGTGGGTGTTCCCCTCCTACCCCAGTGCTTTCTGCGCCACTCCCTGTCGGGAAGAGAAGAATATCATGAGACTTGTCTTCCCCTCCCTTCTTCTGTCTCCCAGGAGGGTCCCCAGATCCCAGTGTTTGGGGACAAAAGCCCTTTTCAGGATTCTAGCCACAAATCCTGGCCCACAGATCCATCGCTTTCCATATGGAGGGAGTCTTTTCCTTCCAAGCCATTCTCCACTCCAGAACATTCCATGCAGGGAGGGCTGGGGATGGCCCCTGGGACCAGGTATCGGGAAGCAGCTGACAGGTGGGAGGAGCATCTTCCTACCCTTGGTGGTGTTTTTGTCAGTGACTTAGGTCAAGACATAGAATTCATTTTGCTGCTGGTTGGGAAGTGGAGTGTACTGAAGAGAATACTGGGCTTAGAGTCAGCAGAGACCCAGGCTCCAATACCTCCTCTGAGTCTTTACAGCTCTGAGATCTTGCACCAGCCCTCCGGCCTCAGTCCCCTCATTCATAAAATGAGGGGGTCTGGTCTCGGTGGTCTCTTGGCCTAATATCCTCTGAACCAATAAACACAGCTAAGGGATATTAAAGTTGGTGACAGCCGGGTGGTGCAGTGGGTAGATCGCCGGGCCTGGAATCAGGAAGACCTGAGTTCAAATCCTGCTTCAGACACTTACTAACTGTGTGACCTTGAACAAGTCACTTCACCTCAGTCTGCCTTAGTTCCCTCATCTATAAAATGGGGATCGTGATGATATCAACCTCACAGGATTGTTATGAGGACCAAACGAATCGTATTTGTAAAATGCATAGCACAATGCCTGGCAAATAATAGGCACCTATTCAATGCCCATTTTCTTCCTTCCTTTAAGTCAATCAGTCAGCTACATGACATTTTTTTAAGCGTTTCCTGGCATCGGCTAAGTGCTGGGTTAGAAAGGGAGGCCCAGACAGTTCCTGCCCTCAAAGAGTGTCCATTCCAATGGGGCAGACAAGCATGAAACAAGTCTCGGTCATGATAGCCATTCCGCCAGACTGGATCCTTGAGCGTGGGAATGAGCGTGGGGCATGCGTGTGGGGAGTGCTAGACACCGCATGGCTGGCCCAGAGGATGAGTCCTGCTTTCTCCAAGGGTGCGCTCTCTGGCCCCCAGGGCAGGTCTTTCTAACTGCGCTGCTAACTCACCTGTTTAATTTGTAGCTTGCAGATGGTATGCTTGGCTCAGCCCCCATTGACTTGTCGTCTTCTTCGTCTGGTGTCCAAGTAGGTATTGTCAACTCTTTCTTCAGTGGGGGGAACATGGGGGTGGATGCTTCCTAAGGTCCCACTGACCTCAGCCAGCTCTCGATTATCTGTGCAGTAGTAAGAGGGGTCGAAACACAGTTGAGTCCCAAAATTGCGGCCACTCTTCAGGGGATTTCAGAGTTGGTTCTGCGGTTTCTCTCATCAGTGGCTTGTCTGTGGTGCTTTGCTCAAAATTGGTACCACAATGGGTCTATAGACCCAGAGCCCTCACCACTGAGGCAAGATGCCTTGAGAAGTTTCAGTTTACTCATGTACTAATTTATTAACAATTCCTTTACAACAACCTTGTAAGAGTGGGTCACACAAATGTCATTATCAAAATTTTTGCAGATGGGGAAGTTGAGGCTTAGAAGTACAGAGAGAGAGATAGTCCAGTGAGAAGAGCACTGGTTCAGGAGTCAGGGGAGTCAGGTTCAAATCCCACCTTTGACACTTGCCATCCTGAATGGTCAACATCTGTGAATTGTCAGAGAGTTGAACTGGACGGCCTCTGCGATCCTTTCCAACCCTCAAATTCTGTGATTCTATGGAGGCAGAAGGAAGTTGGATTAGATGACCTCAATGTCCTTTCCAGCCTTGACAGTGAGTCACTCAGGGCCTCCTAGCAAGTGTTGGGGCCAGAAGGCTAATTCGTGCCCTTTAGCTTTATGGTCACTGCTTGGTGGCCTCTCAGATCACCCAGCTGGTAATGGAGAGTTGACTGGACAGGGACACGGAAGGGAGGGACAAGGACCACCAGCCTCCCTTGCCTTCAACAGCTTTTCTTTCTCCCTGGCAAGTGTGGTGAATGGATGTCCTCAGAGGGATTCTTAGGGACTGGGGAGACTGCCTTTGGACAAATTCTACTTTGGTCAGAGCCCGTTTCTCCTTAGCCCCATGTCTAGGACCAGATTGAGCCCCAGGGTAGTCAGGACATTGGAGGAAGGGACAGGACCCCAGCCCTTGGGGAGCTCCCAGTCTGATGGGGTAGGTAGGCCCCCTCCTCTTGGGGATCCCCCCAGTCTGGTGGTAGAGACAGGACAGATAAACTCACAAATGAATCTTAAAATAAGAGACAAAATTATAATAATACTAATATAAATGACGTAATTATTATGTAATGAATAACAATTAAGGGTGATGATCATATATAGTTCCCATCTTTATAGCCCTTTCCTGTTCATAAAGTACTTTCCTCACTAGGACCTAGGAGAGATGGGTAGTGCTTATTCCCATATTTTTTTTGGGGAGAGGCAAGTGGGGTTAAGTGACTTGCCCAGGGTCACACAGCTAGTAAGTGTCTGAGGCCGGATTTGGACTCAGGGCCAGTGCTCCATCCACTGTGCCACCTGGCTGCCCCTTATCCTTACTTTACAGCCTCTGAGGTCCCTTTCAGCTCTAGCCCTCGGGTCCTGTGACTTACCTGGGGCGGTCCCACAGCCAACGAGTAAGAATGCAGGGCTCTGAGGCTGTGGTTTAAGTCTGGTACTCCTTCCATGACTGTATCTCTCTCGAAGCACATCAGTTAAGACTAGCAGGGGAGCAGCAGGTCAGTGGGTGCCTTAGGCCACAGAGGTGGCTGCAGATCTGGGAGGATTTCTCAGAAAGGGCAGTTCTTAGGGCCAATCTCTTCAGCCTCCCCACAGTCCCCCCCAACTCTGCCTCAATCCTGAGGCAGCTGCTGTCAGCCTGGAGAGACCACGGCCCTGGGGCGGGGATGCATGCATCCTGTGGGCAGCCTTAGGAGCAAGCACACAGAGAGATGGGGGGCACACTTGGACATGAGCAAGTGTGTTTTCTCCACTAATATTCCTCCTTTCTTTTTCCCCTCCCCAGCCCCCCAGGATCCCTCCCTCTCCCTACTACCCAGAGGGGGTAAGGCTGGTATCAGGCTCAGAATCAGCCACATGGTATTCTGGGGCAGCTCTCCTGTGGGCCAAAGTTGTGGGAGCCAGAGCTGAAAAGGGATTCACAGGCCTGTACATCTGGGCTTAAAGGGCAAAGGCTTTCACGGAAGTACAAATAAAAATGGTGCCTGGCCTCAGGGAGCTTGCATTTGATTTTTAAAAAGTATACTTATGTTTGTACGTCCTCAATAGAATGTGAGGTTCCCAGGGAAGGAACTGTGATTCTTTGTGCCTCAGTCCCTGTGCCTGGCCCATAGCAGGTGCTTGGTAGATACTTGTGGACCGAGTGATTATCATGTTATCACCCACAGTCATGTAGAAGAACCAGGTCCAGCAGTGAAGCAAAGTAGGACGTGTCTGGGCTCTAGGGACGCTGCCTGTTTGTTGGGGGACACATGGGTCTCTGCTTTCCAGAAGGTCCCCGGCTTGATAGAGTAGGCATGGTGGACAAGGCTGGAGCCCATAGCAATGATGACAAAAGGGCCATAAGAGGGGGTGCAGCGGGTCAGCAATGTCAATGGGATGGAGAACGGACAGAGTCAATCTGGGAGGGCTTCCTAGAGAAGCATCCACCGCCAGCCTCCTCTTTCTGTTTGGCCTTCTTTGTAAGGGTTCCTGTTGGTACATCCACAATCGATGTCAGGAATCATAAATTTACAGCTTGCAGGGATCTTAAAGGCCACCCCACCCCTTTACCTATGAGGAAACCAAAGCTCAGACAGTGTAAGTGACCCATCCCAGGTCACACAGGTAATAGGTGCTGGAGTCAGGACTGGAACCCACATCTCCCTCCTTTCCAGTTCAGACCCACTCATTGTATGTATCTCAGCACTTCCTTGTCTCACAGTCTTTTTTTCTGGGGGCAGTGGATGAGAAAATGCTTTTTCTAACAACAGTCCTTTGCCAAATGCGCTTAACTACAGCTTGGTTGCAGCCGGTCACCCAACATCCGTGTGCAATGGATAGAGCCTTGGGCTTGGAATCAGGAAGACTCCTCTTCCTGAGTTCAAATCTGGCCTCAGATACCTACTAGCTGTGTGACCCTGAGCAGGTCACTTCACCCTGTTTGCCTCAGTTTCCTCATCTGTAAAGTGATCTGGAGAAGGAAATGGCAAACCACTCCATTATCTCTGCCAGGAAAGCCCCAAATGGGGTCACAAAGTGTCAGACATGACTGAACAACAGCAATATTGACATCCAGTGTCATTAATGCAGAGCCAGCTAATTTGGGAATTAGTGATGGTGCAGACGAGGCCCAGCCCGGCCTTCATCTGTATGAGAGACATCTGAGTGGTGGGGCACGGTGAGGCCATGCAACTGGTCTTCGGACGACTGAAAAAAAAGTCTTGTGACTTCCTAGTAACACCCCCAAAGATGAAGGGAGTGTTGAAGAGAAGCAGGCATCGTGCAGCACCCAGTGGCACTTTCTAGTCTGGACTTGTGATTGCATCAGTGAAAGTGAGCCCCAGCGTGGAAATTCCTTCCAGTGATGCATATCAGCAACTCGGCTGAGATTTAGAGCCCTGAGAATCCCTCGGGGGCACTGAGAGGTTAAGTCAGCCCCAGTCAGCAAAGGGGGGCGGTAGAACTCGAACCCAGTCCTTCCTGACCCTGAGGCTCGCACCCTCTGAGCGCATTGGCATATACCTGACAAATGCCCTGTAGATGAAAGCAGGCCCCTTTCAGACCTTGATCGGGCCGCGGTGGCCTCAGTCAGCACTTGAAAGCGGCCGCGCTGTCTTTCCCCAAGATCCTCCGATTGGGGGGTTGGCCCGCTTGGCGTGCCCCCTCTGCCTATCGCGGCGTGTAATCTGGCCTGGTCTTCGGTGAGTCATCCGTGGCAAATCCAAATCCTCCATCAGATGACAAGTGGAGGCGAGCAGGAGGGGAGGAAAGGGAATCCGAGCCTGGGTCTGTAAGCTATGTGGAATAAGGCGGGCGCATACTTTACGGTCTCTCCCGTTCTGGGGAGCTGGAGTCCACGCCGATATTGGATCCTGCTGCTGGAGGCCGGAGCAGGCTCTGGGCGCCTGCCCCTCCCCCGAGCTCTCCCCCCAAACATTCTTGCGGTCTCCCGGGGGGGCCCACCCCTTCTCCCCTAGCACACCCCGCAGCGGGGATGGCTCAGGGTGAGACTGTCGCCTGGCAGGAGCCCCAGACCCGATGGGGAGAAGCTGGCCTGAACTCCTCACCCCCATTCCCCACCCTGCCTCCTCAAGAGGAGAATTCTAGAGCCTTCGGCTGGAAGGGTCATCCTGTCCCTCCCCCTGCCTCCATGCTTGCCCCATTGATCCCATCCCAGAGACAGAACACATCCTCTTTTCCAGAATTCAGGCAGTTTAGGGGCTGGAAGGGACAACACCAAGACACCAGGCCATGAATATTCGTCCTGAAGGCAGAGCACCTGGGGTGGGGGTGGCCTGCCGAGATTTTTAGCGTCATTCTCGAGAAAAGGCCGCAGAATCACAGAACACTGAATCCCAAAGTGGAAAGGGATTCCTTTCGGCAGCCATCTGCTCCAGCCTGGGGCACACGGAAGAGGGATTAGCTTTCTGCTTGGTCCTAGAGGCCAGAACCAGGAGCACCTGGAGAAGCTGCAGAGAGGCAAACTGAGGCTGGACTTTAGGGGTAGGTGACAACAAACATCCTCACACTTGGAGCGAAGAGGGGGGGCAGGCGCAGCACCCACCTCCTAGGGCTGCTGGGAGGATCAGGTGAGACCATAAAACTAAGGTGTTTAGTGCTGCACCTGGACCATAGTAGGGGCTGAGGGTGCAGAGTCAGAGTAGTGCTTTTTCCACCACTCTCCTGGGAGAAATGATATTCCCTGCCCCCAATGAGCTTACACTCTAATAGGGGAGGCAGCCCAGAGGGAAGGCTTTGCTTTTGCAACCTCAGCTCCAAAGCTCATTGGTATGAGACTGTCTGGGTGTGGGGCTACATTCACATCAAGTAAAAATCTGCCTCTTTTCAGCTTCCTCTGATTTCCTTCAAGTTCTGGTCTCTGAGATAACGTAGTCAGTCAATAAACATTTAGTAAGCAGCAGAAATCTAATGTTGCTTCTCTTCGACAGTGCTGGAAGCCAGCCATCATCAATGCTTATAAGGAGGGGTTGGAAGGGCTTTGCGTTTCTCAGGATGCTGGGCCATGACCTGATTTTTAGGGGCTCATCCTTTGCTTTGCCTCTTCTCTCCCACTCCCTACCCCACAGACCCATCTCTTCTCTCCACCTCCCATTCTGCACTTCTCCAGACTCATGTCCACGGATTCTCCCAAAACAGACCAAGAGTGTCCTCAGATGTTCAGGCTCCGGTCCTCTCTCTCCACTTTTTGCCACTTTCCCTTTGGACTGTTGGGGGGTAACCAAGTGTTTTGCCTTGAAAGACTCGTCTTCCCAGCTCCAGCTGTTTGGAGGACTGAGTGAAGGCAAACAGAGAGAGGGATGTCAACAGAGACTTCCAGGAGGCATGAGGGGCCCGTGCCAAGAGCCAGTGGAAAGGCAAACACCTGGCTAGGGGATGGACCTCGAGCAGTCATGCCCAACATTTTCACAACTAAGAATCCCCGTTTAACGTCAAAGGATGTTGAGGACCCCTATGTGATGGCTGCATTATTAGCATTTGTGGCAAAGTGGAGGGAGCATTAGGTCTGAAGCCTTAAGACCTGGATTCAGATCCTGCTGTCTGGGGTGATCTTGGGCAAATCACTTCACTTTCTTGGTCTTACTGTCAAACATCTGCCAAAGATGGCTGATACAGAGGAGAAGAGAGGCAGGAAGGGAGAAGGGTAAAGAGGGAGGAGGATGGGACAGAGGGCCCAGGAAAGTGAAGTGATCTCACAGGTAGTTAGATCTCTACCAGCTTTAAATCTGCCATCCTGTAATGCTAGGATTGCAAAATCCGATGATAAGGCTTTAAAAGAGTTTGGTTTGATTCAACGCACATCAAATTCAACAAGCTTACTACGTCAGAGGCATTGGGAACATAAGGAGCGAGAGGAGAAGCAGGTCCTACCTTCGAGAAGTTTGGCAGGGAGCTTAAACACAGCTACCGATATTTTCGGAACATTTACGTATGTGCTCAAGGCATGATTTATTCACCCTACAGAAGGTATACCTGCTATTTAGACTGGGTCTTTCAGTGAGATGGACTCCTGTGATGACTGTGGTTGGCCCTGGGTTGGAACCACCGGTCAAGAGATGGCTGTCCTGGGAGGGAGGGCACACGGGCGTGGATAGACCTTTGTGGAATCAAAAGAGAGCCCAGTCAGGGACCTGTGTTGATCTACCTGTCTCTATGTGTGTGTGTCTCTGTCTCTATTTGTATGTGGACACAGATGGCCATGGTTACTTGGCCAATGTCCTTTGGGGGGTGGATATGTGTGTGTTTTTGTGTGTTGGCATGGGTATATGTTGACAACGTATATCTCTCTATATAACGATCTACATGTGGACAACATATTTGTGTATTCACATATATACACACATGTACAGATAAACCTTCAATGTGTGTACAGTAACACACCCATGTATGTATATGTACATGCATGTACACATACACATGAATTTGTGCATGTGTGTTTATAAATACGTGCGGGTGTGTATGTGTTTGCATGTATATACATATGCACATATACACAAATATGTGTATAGATGCAATATGTGTATATATAATCTGTGTGCATGTGTGTATGTGTGTATGAGCCTGAGTCAGAGGACCTGGATTGGAATCCTGCCTCTTCTACTTAATAGCGGTGTGATGGTGAATGGGCTACTCTCCTCGGAGCCTCAGTTTTTCCTTCGGGGATTTGGAGAGGGCAAGGAAGCAGGCAGAAAGGATGGTGGGCCAGCGTCTGCTCCAGCACACTACTCCCTGGGACCCCTTCCTCCCACCTCATTATGCTCCACCCCTTCCCCGTTTTAGATCCAGATCAGAAACGTTGATAGTTATTCCTGGAAACTGAGGCTCTGAAAGGGGAATGTGTGCTTCAGATTTCTTCATGCATTTATCTGTACGTATGTGTTTCTGTCTGCATGCACTGATGTGCCCATCTGTGCATGTGGTTTGCTGCATGTTTGTAACTGATTCTTGACCCCGGAGCAGCAGTCCTCTGTTGCTTTATAACCTCGGGGGCAGGTCAGACACAGCACCCAGCTCCAAACCTAACTGCCGAAATCTCTTGTTTCTTTGGTGCTGCAGAAGACCCTTCTGGTGAGTGGGTCAGACAGAGATGATCCCTGTAGACTCTGTCCCCCTCTGCCCCCTCCTGCCCTGGAACCGTGTGAAGGAGGGCCCCACTATTGGGCATCTCCTTTATTGTGGGCTCATCGATCCCCCTGGTGTCTTCCACTCCCTGCCTTTGGAATGACCTTGGGAATGCTGGGGATCAGCTGGGAAGAAGATCCTGAAATGTCCAGTCAGTCATCCAGAATTTATTAAACACCTACTATGTGTCAGGCACTGTGCTAAGTAGCTTAACTTCTATTTGATTCAGTTTCCTCATATGTAAAATAAGGCTAATAAGGCACTTATCGCAAAGGGTTGTTGTGAGAATCAGATGAAATCATCTTTGTAAAGTGCTTAGTACAATGCGTGGCACGTAGTAGATGCTATATAAATGCTAGCTATTATTATTATTCTGGGAGCTGCCAGTCTATCTCAGAGGTTAAGACATACATCTTTCTCGGTCTCTGAATTGGTGATCTGTGAGTACAACCAAGACGGCTCAATGCAATATAGATTGGTATTGCCTGAGTAGACTATGGTGCTCTTTAGGAGAGTGGGCTGTTTGAGGTAGGAGGTAGATTTGGTCAAGAAGACACGTGGTTGAGTCTGTCAGGTATTCGGATTCTGGAACTGATAAAGCCCTGTGTTAATGGAAGCAGTTGTTCTCAGGGAGGGCTTCTCAGAGGGGGTGAGCTTTCTTGCTTTTTTTTTTTTCTTTCAGTTCTCAGAGCAGGACTGAAAGCTCAGCTTGGCATGTTCTTTTTCCTGAACCATCTTTCTCTCTCCCCACCCCGCAAACCCTGGTCCCCTGTTCAGGAGGAGGAGTTCATCGATTGGTGGAGTAAATTCTATGCCTCGACAGGAGAGAATGAAAAATGTAGATCTTACCTGGAGAAGGGGTTTGACACTCTGGAGGTGAGCACTTCTTTGTGGCACTGAGCCTCTGTGGGTCCCTTTAACTCACTGAGATTTCTCCGGCTTGGTCTGGGATTCAACCCAGTAGTGAGGATAAGAGGAGGGGGCAGAGACATGGTGGTCCCTGGCCTGGGGAAATCTCAAAGTCAAGTTGGAGGACGGGAAAGCTGCAGACCCACAAGATAATTAGGGTTAGAACAATGAAAAAAGAATATGGGGTTTGGGCCGTGCGAGTTATAGAACGTCCCAGGATCTTAGCGGAATCTCTACAGCACCCCTGGAGGTCAGCCCCCTGTCCTGGCCAGGGAGTCATCCAGTCCCTTCCTGAAGGCCTACAACAAGAGGGAAACTACCATATGGCTAGCCCTAATGGTCAGGAAGTTTTGCCTTACAGCGAGCCTAAACCAGAGATCACTGTAGACAGGGGTAATCATGAAAGACTTCTTGGAGGAGGTGGTGCCTGAATGGGACCTTAAGGAATGGGTAGCACTTGGACATGGAGAGTGGATAGGTTTCCCTGTGGGCTCCAAAGGTCCCAAAGCCCCATCAAAGTCAGCTGGAGCCTTGTACTCATTTAAAATTATCGCATGTTATATATTCAAATAATTCCTTAAACAGAACACTCTATTCTGCTACCACATGGATAAACACCCTTCCCTCTGCTTCCTTCAGCTGCCTCTCCTCCCTCTTCTATCTTTCTCTCATCTTCTTCCTCCATCTCTCAAACTCTTTTTCGTCTCTTCCCTCTTCATACTTTCTGACCTTACATCTTCCCCTCTCCCTTCCTTTCCCCCCTCCTTTATCTTCTCTCTTCCATTCCCCTCTCTTTCTTTTTCCATTTCTGCCTTTGAATTCCCCTACCTGTTTTTTTTCCTTTTGGCTTCCCTCTCTCTCCTCCTCTTTCCATTCTGTCCTTTCTCTCCTCCTTCTTACTCTTACCTCTTCCTCCCTCTCTTTTCTCTCCACCATATTTGGCAGGTGTATGAAACTGAGTTGGAGAATGTGGAGGACTTTGAGGGTCTGTCTGACTTTTGTAACACCTTCAAACTATACCGGGGGAGGACTCAGGAGGAGATGGAAGACCCATCTGTAATTGGGGAGTTCAAGGTAACGAGGCCCTCATGGGCACCTTTGGCACCTGGAATTCTTCAGAGTTTGTGTTTAAGGGGTCAAGGGTTGGGTATTAAGTATTATGGGGATATCTGGTCTTGTGGGGAAGAATGAACACACAGAATAGATGTCAGTGACTGTGGTAGTGATGGTCATGAGGATGAGATCAATGATGGTGGTAACGAGGATGAAGATAATGATGATGTTGGTGGTGATGGTAATGATGGTGGTTGGTGGTGTTGAGAGAAAATGATGAGGATGGTGGTGATGGTGCCCACACTGGTCATAGAGATAGTGGTGGGGATGGGGTTGGTGGTGGCACTTCCCATGGTGAGGGATGTGCAGTGACCATAGCGATGTTGCTAATGATAGTGACCTCAGTGGTGTGGATAGGGGAGTGGAGGAGTTGGCACACAGGATGATGGGGAGGGTGCTGATGGTGCTGACGAGAACTAACTCCAGTCTCTTTGCAGGGACTGTTCAAAATATATCCCCTTCCAGAGGACCCGGCTGTCCCCTTACCCCCAAGGCAGTTTTACCAGCTGCCTGCCCAGGGGCCCCAGGAGTGCCTCGTTCGTGTTTATATCATTCGAGCTTTTGGCCTGCAACCCAAGGACCCCAATGGAAAGGTACCATCACAGGTCCCATGTTCCCCCTCAATTGCAGGGCCTCGAGCCAAGAGGCAATAGAATTTAGTCCTTCCTGAGCTCCGGGGAGCCTGTGGTCTAATAGAGGACCCAAGAATCACTCATGAGACAAAACAGGACACATAGAATTTTAGCAGGTCAGAGGAAGGAGACATCCATTGGTTTGTGCTTCCTGGAGGAGGTGGCCTTTAAGCTGGGCTGGAAAGCATGCGTAAGTTGAGGGGAATAGAGGTAATTTTTCAGAGAGGTGAACAGTATAAGCAAGCAGCCTGTGCAGGGAACAAGGATGAGACAATCCCAGCAGGATGTGCGGTCAGCCTAGACCCCGTCTCAAGTTCTGTTATGAACACTTACTAGCTCTGTGACCCCAAGTGAATAACTCAGTCGCCCCATCTTTCTGCTTTGCAAACTTTTAAGCACTATTAAGTGTCCGCTGTGAGTAAGGAATGTCCAGCTGAGAAGTCTGGCCTTGTGAAGGCAACTGGTGCAGTGGACAGAGCATTGGGCCTGGAGCCAGGAAAACCTCGGTTAAAATTCTGCCTCACCTGCTTGCTAGGCTCTCATGTGTGGGCCTCCAGTCTCTGAGCCTTTCCAAGCCATGTGTAAAACGGGGATAATAATAACACTTCATACTCAGGACCGTTGTGGGGGTCGAATGAGATAACATATGTTGAGAATGTCAAAGGGTTATATAAATGTTAGCTGTAATAATGATTGTTAGTAGTTATAAGGGGTGTGCCTTACTATACCTGTAACTAGTAGGCCACGTTATAAACCATGTGGAGCCAGGGTCAGGACCAGTGGACACCAGCCGAGCAATAAGTATTGATTAGGCCCTTCTGACCTCCCATTTCTCCTGTCCCAGCACAGACAGGCTGAGAAATGGAGGAAAGAGCTTAGAAGGAGTTCAGAGGAGGTGGATAGAGTTAATAGTGATGATGGTGATGATGATGGTGGTGATAACGATAATAAAGAAGGGCCTTGGAAGCCATCTAGTCTAAATTTCTCATTTTACAGAGAAGGAAACTGAGGCCCAGAGAGGTTCAGTGACTTGCCCCAGGTCACAGAGTAGTGTCAGAGGTAGAATTGGAATCCAGGACCTGTGACACCAGAGTCAGTACTCCTTTCCCAAGACCACATCACCTATAGAGGAATTTTCGACATGTGTTAGATAACCCATCCCAGCTGTTTTTTTTTTTTTATCGGTTTTGTCCCCTAGTGTGACCCTTACATCAAGATTTCTGCTGGGAAAAAATCAATGAATGACCAGGAAAACTACATCCCCTGCACTCTGGAGCCTGTGTTTGGAAGGTGAATGAAGACGGCTCCATGAGGGACGAGCTGGGAGTGGGGAGGGAATGGGGGCAGCTTCAGTCACGGGCCAGGGAAGGGGCGGGGGCCAGGGAGACACCCCTGAGGGGCTTATATCGTCCTCTCCGTTTCCTTATGGTATCCCCCAACACAGCATTTGGCACATAGTAGGTCTTTAATCAGTGCTCCTTCTCATGTCCCCACGAGGGAGAGAGAGTCAGGGGGAGAGGGGGGATGTCCCAGAGAGGAGACAAGCCACTCATTGCCATGGAGAGAGTGGGGGACTAAGGGCTGGGCTCCTCACTGGTTAATTTTGGGTTGGGGAAAGCCACAGAAAATGTGCCTTCAGAGGAACTTTTCAAGGCAAATTCTGGTGTGTGTGTGTGTGTGTGTGTGTGTGTGTGTGTGTGTATGTATGTGTGTGTGAATGTGTGTGTGAGTGTGTGTGTATGTATATGTATGTGTGTGTGAGTGTGTGTGTATGTGTGTGAAGACCTCAGCACAACACCTATGTGGTGACAGAGACTGAGGGACACAAAGAGACCATCCTGGTTGTGGGGACCTCCTAGCAGAAGGGCAATCTGGTAGTTTTAAGAAATGACACTGTTCTTGCTAGGTTAGTGCTAAGCGTGGCTGCTTCTATACTGCTGGGCTGCAAGGGCTATGGGTAGCCTCTAATTTTTGGTGTCACAGGAGCGAAACTCTGGTTGCCCTTGCCTAGTTGTAGCTCTACTAAGAGCAAGGTCTTCTTATGCTTCTCTTGTTTCCATTCATTAACAGACCGTAGCTATGTCTTTTCCCAAAGCAGGATGGAAGCTTGGTCATTCATTCATTCACCAACCCAGATGGAAGAGATAGCTCCTGCCCTTATCTATCCATCCCTCCACCCATCCATCCATCCACCCACCCATCCATCCACCCATCTGTCTGTCCATCCATCTGCTCATCTATCCATCCATCCACTCTCATCCATCCACCCACCCATCCACCCATCCACCCAACTGTCCATCCATCCATCCATCCACTCATCCATCCACCCACCCATCCACCCATCCACCCAACTGTCCATCTCTCCATCCAACCACTCATCCATCCATCCATCCCCTCAGCCATCCACCCATCCACCCATCCATTCATTCATCTCACCCATCAATTAATTCATCCATTAATTCTTGTATTCATTCATCCATTTGTTCATTCATGTATTCATAAATTCATTTGTTCATGTACACATTCGTTTATTCACTTATTAAACCATAACCAAGTGCCTGTGCTTAGCCACGGACAAGGCTACTTTGTAGGAGAGACAAGAAGAGAGGACGTGGTCCTTGCCCTCAGGGAGCTCCAAATCTACTTAGGGCAATAAAATGCCTACCAAAGCCTGGAGTAGAGGCTGATTCAGTGGTAGATGTGTGGTTCAAGCAGTAGGTGCTGATGGCCTTCAGTGGACGGAGAAATTCCTTATTCCTATGGGCTGACGATGGAGGCGCCAACTTGTCCGGCCCTTCTCTGATTGGCTCTCTTCCCTGCAGGGTATATGAACTGACCTGCACCCTTCCACTGGAGAAGGACCTCAAGGTCATGCTATATGATTATGACATCCTCTCTAAGGATGAGAAGATTGGGGAGACGGTCATTGACCTGGAGAACCGATTCCTGTCCAAGTTTGGTGCACGATGCGGTCTCCCCCAGACATACTGCGTGTAAGTGCCTGGGGCTGCCATGCCATAGTGTCTCCATGGGCCCTTCTGTCAGCATTGAAGGGTGTTATGGGCAGAGTCCACACACACACCTATGCAGGGGTGGAGTGACGCATGTGTGGATGGAGATGTCTGTGTAGACATGTGTCCAGTCTGCCCCAGGGCCCTGTCTCTGCATATCTTCACTTTGCCTTTCTTGGGGCCTTAGTTCGGGACCGAATCAATGGAGAGACCAGCTCCGCCCAACTCAGCTCCTGCATCTATACTGCCAGCAGAACAAGGCCAAAGCCCCCGTGTACCATGAGAACCGGGTGGTGTTCCAGGACACAGAGGTCACCCTTGAAGACATCAGTGAGTCTCAGCTCTGTCCTAGCCCCAGGGCTTGCCTCATTCCTTAGCATCATCTCCCAGCCCTTCATGACTTAACTAATAATTCTGTGCGTGGAAGGATTGTGTTAGATGACCCTGAGATCTCTCTGAGTTTGGACTGGAGTGGAAAGAACACCTGCCTGGAGCAGGGGATCAGAGTTCAAATCCTGGCACTGCCACTAGCTAGCTGTGACCATGAATGAATGCTGTTGAGTTATTGCAGTCCTGTCTGACTCTTCATGATCCCATTTGGGGTCTTCTTGGTTTTTTGTTTTTGTTTTTGTTTTTTGTTGTTTGTTTTTGGCTAGGTCATGAAGTTAAGTGACTTGCCCAGGGTCACACAGCTAGTAAGTGTCAAGTGTCTGAGGCTGGATTTAAACTCAGGTTCTCCTGACCCCAGGGCTTGTGCTCCATCCACGGTACCACCTACCTGACCCCCCATTAAAGGTTTTCTTTATAGAGATACTGGAGTGGTTTGCATTTCCTTCTCCATCTCATTTTACAGAGGAGGAAACTGAAACAAACAAGGTTAAGTGACTTGTCCAGGGTCACACAGCTAGTAAGTGTCTGAGGCTGGATTTGAACTCAGGAAGAGGAGTCTTTCTGACTCCAGGCTCCACACTCTATCCATTGCACCACCTAGCTGCCCTATGAATGAATGAGTCCCTTCCTTTCTCTGGGCTTCAGTTTGCTCATCTGAAAAAAAGAAGGATTTTGGACTGGGGTGATGACTAAGGTCTTTGCCAGGTCCAAAGGTCTGTGGGCAGGGAGGGCTCCGTGGGGGAAGAAGAACTTAAATGAGGCCTTGAAGGCTGGAACTGCAAAGGGGGAGGGGAACAAGCCAGAAGGCCATTTGTACTTGGAAGGTGGAGCCCTAGAAGTGCGGTGTTTGACCCCAGTGAATCAGCTCTGATGGTGGAGTTTCAGCCACTGTGTCAGGCTCGGAGTGGGGAAGGTTCGGTTACTCTTTTCCACACAACATCTTGGGTCCTGAAGAAGCAGCCAAGCAGAACGGTTGGTAGTCTGGACTGAGACAGCAGGCAGCTAGCTACTCTGCTGGTGTCCAAGCTGGCTGGGCTCCTTGCTAACCCCATTCTGGGATTTTTGATCTTTTCTTTTTGGCTCAGAGAATGGCAAGGTGGCGAATCCCCACCTGGGTCCGGTGGAGGAGCAGCTGGCACTGGCTGTCCTGAGGCAGCAGGGCCTTGTCCCCGAGCACGTGGAGAGCCGCTCCCTCTACAACCCTCTGCAGCCAGACATTGAGCAGGTAGGACCAGCAGTGCGCTCCCCAGTGACCCAAGCCCAGGCCGGCGCGGCCCCTGCCGACGGGACACAGCAGAGAAGGGTCACCGTGCATCCCCTGGGATCTGCCCTGAGGTTGGCCCAGGGTCACTCTCGCCCATGCTGTCCTCATGGACTGGGAAGGCTCCCAGATCTCTGAACCTCCTCTTAGTGACCCATGAGGTTATGACCTTTGGGGGCTTTCTCCCAGTCCTTCCTGACTCTGTTTCTGGGCAGAGAACATGCATTTATTAAGTACCAACTGTACATGAGACACTCTTCTAGTCATTGTGGGTACAAAGATGAACATGAAAGTTTACATGTTGTTAGGGGACAACAGTCTATAAAAACAGAGGATGCTCAAGTAGGGGATGATGAGGGCCGGGAAATAGTGGAGGCCTGGGGCCTGGCAAGATGAGGCAAACAGCTCTCCTGTCAGAGCTGGGGAAAGCAGAGATTCCAGGAGTCCTCCACTGGGGAAAGGAGGACAGCTTTGGTCTTTGTCTCTGAACTTCTTCCAGGATCAGAGGAGGGGGTGGAGGTAAAGAGGGTGGGGCTGGTCCGATGCTGCTCATTACTAGCTGTGTGACCCTGGGGCAGGTCTCTGGACTTGTTCCTGTCTAGACTTCATCTATTCAATGAAAGTGTTGGACTCGATGCCCCCAAGGTCCCGTGCAGCAGAGATCTGATGATTGTCACCTTCTGGGATCTCAGGCTCCGTCCTTCCAGAATACATCTTGGCTTGGCTTCACATCTTCCTTCTCACCTTCTAGTCTTTCTTGACTTTCCTGTGTGTCCAGCCCTCCTCCAGGCTCTGTAAGAGAATGGTGTCTGCCCTTAGGGAGCTTGGAGAATAGTTACAGAGACTAAAGATGCAAAGAAAACATGGGAATATAGCACCGACGGAATCCATTGGCTGTAGAATTGACAGCTGGAAGGGGATCTTAGAGATCACTTAGTCTAGGAGTTCCATGGACCTGTTTGGGATCTGTGGATAGATTCCAGGGGGTCCACTAAATACGAGGCAATTTGGGAAAGAGGGCACCCTCTCTGTGGATTAGAGGGATCAAGAAAAGTTTCACGAGAAAGGATCACCTTAAAGGATAAGGTTTCATGAGAAAGGATAACCATCACCTTAATCATCTGTTCTAGAATTTTCCCAGGCATTGATGTCAATCTCATTGGCTTATAGCGGAGGCCAATGCCGTAGGTTCTACTTTCTAGACCATTCTGCCATTCTTTCAATGGCTTTTAAACTGAGCATCTCTGGTGTGCAAGGCACCATGTTACTGTCCCTGACTGACCAAGACTGGGTTGGGTATCTGTCTGTGGTCAGAATTCCGGAATTGGTCTCTAGCTGGAATTAGGGGCTATGACGGTAGAGCTAATTGGTGCCAGGTGGGATTCAAACCCATGACTTGAGATCAAACGCAAACTCAAACCAGTGAGTTAAGTAGCCCAGGCAGGGCCACGAAGGGTGAGGGGGTTAAATGGCGGCAGAAATAATCATAGATGTAACTAGGATGGGAAGATGAGCACTTTGTTTCTTCACTGGGTAGAAATAACTGAGCTCAGTACCCCAGGCAGTCTCTTCTCCACTCCCTCCCCAACAAGTGGGCTCCTCCGAAGGGGCCCGATGGGATGCTAGGGTCTCTCCCCCTAAGGGGCCTTTAATCTTGAGTTCCAATTTTGAAGCTCTCTCCCAGGGCTCTATCCCAGGGCATTATTTGTCTTAAAGTGTTGCTTTGAATGGCTTTTTTGGGTACTTGATTCAACACAGGATGCCTTGTGAAGGGGGCTCACCAGCCCCAGCGACCATTTTTTTCTTCCTCTGCTCGAACTGCTAGAGAATTTGTCTCCATGTTGAAGAAAGGCGGGGTGCATGTGGAAGAACTGATGGGGGTTCCAGGGCCAGGACAGTTGGGGTTGGGGATTAAGTTAACCCTGGGGCAGTAGAAAGCTGGAACAGAGTAGGAGTCAGAGTGAGGGTGGACAGCTGGGTCCAGCAGGAGCAGAGAGAGGGTCTGAGCCAACAAGGAGGAAGGGGCTGCTGAGGTGTTCTGATTTCATGGGCCAACTCTCTCCGTAGGGAAAGCTGCAAATGTGGATTGACCTATTTCCAAAGGCCCTCGGAGCACCTGGACCTCCATTTAAAATTACACCCCGCAAAGCCAAGAGGTGACTGCCTGTTCTCTGTCTGGGTGTCGGGCCATCTGTCCAATGCTTTCTTTGTTTCAGTTCAGGAATTAATTGGGAGCCAGGGTTAGGGGTCATCTATCGGGTGGGGATAGGGGTAATTCTGGGGCTATGACAAGAGGTCGCTCTAGGGACAGACTGGAGGGGCTGGTCTTTGGCCAGCATTTGGGGTCAGAGCATTTTTCTGTGAAAAGTTGATGGCCTGGGGAGTCATGAGGCCTAAGACCCTGGCCACTGTGGGCTTCAGGCTCCCCAAGGCCATTTGGGATCCTTCACCTTCCTTCTGCAATGAACCTGGGTTAATCTGCATCTTCCTCTCCTCACCAGGTTTCTCCTGCGATGTATTATTTGGAACACCAAAGATGTTATCTTGGATGACATCAGCATCACCGGGGAAAAGATGAGTGACATCTATGTGAAAGGGTAGGAATTACCCCAGTGGTCTCATGGTAGCTCCCTTCATCATCATCATCATGAATATGCATTTATTGAGTGCTTACTGTATGCAAGTCACTGTGCCAAGCCATGTGGGTACAAAGGACAGCAAAAACATGGTCTGTGCCATCAAAGAGAGTGCATGCGAATGTGGGAGACATGCTGGGCTCTTGGGGGAGACAGGGCCTACCCCTGGAGGAACCCCCGGCCACGCCCTGCCTTCTCTGGTCCTCTGCTTCCTTATCTGCCCCATATCAGGTTGGATGGATTATTTCTCATGTCCTGGCCAGCTCTGGTGTTTTAGGATCCTGGGAGTTGTGACTTGCATACAGAAGATTGAAATGAGCTAATGAGGATTTGTGGTCATTTGGCCTTTGTCACCTGAAAATAATGCACTAAAATCTCAGCTAGAATAAATGAGGATCCTGATCGCTGTCTGTGAGGGGCAGACACAGCTTCTGACCTTAGGGAGCCTCTAATGTGGTGAGGGAGCTGAGAGGCTGTAGTCCCTTGCCCTCAGGGAGCCCGTGGTCTGATGGGGAAGACTCCAACCCCATCCTCAGCCCCTAGTCTGATGAGGAAGACCCCCAGCCCTATCGTCAGGGAGCCTCTGCTCTGATGAGGAAGACCCCCAGCCCCATCCTCAGCCCCTAGTCTGATGAGGAAGACCCCCAGCCCTATTCTCAGGGAGTCCCTGGTCTGATGAGGAAGACCCCCAGCCCCACCCTCAGCCCCTAGTCTGATGAGGAAGACCCCAGCCCCATCCTCAAGGAGCCCCTGCTCTGATGGGGAAGACCCTGGCCCCATCCTCAGGAAGCTCCTCCTCTGATGGGGAAGACTCCGGCCACATCCTTAGCCCCTGGTCTGATGAGGAAGACCCCCAACCCCTATCCTCAGGGAGCCCCTGCTTTGATGGGGAGGACCCGCAGCCTATCCTCAGGGAGCTCCAATAATGTCTTTCTCTGCAAGTTTTCAGTAACCCCCTTGCAAGGAAGGAGGGGAACAGTCTAAAATGAGAAGTTTTATTTTAAAGAGCTCAGGAAATCAAAGAAATTGAGAAATCCAGCGGCTCACCCTTTCCTGTTCACAGCTTTTCCATTTATGACACGTTCTGTTCCTCCAGGGGCCAGGGGAGAATTCTTCCCCCTAAGGAGCCCCCCTCACCTGCCTGAGGCTCCACTCATCCTCAGTGTCCTCAGCCTGCAGACTGTGCTACTGGGTCAGTAAGAGGCTGCCAGGCAGTCTCCCACTGCAGCCCAACCAGTGCATCCCGCTCCAAGTCCATCTCCCATGTGAAATCCCCTATTAACATGAAAGATGCAATGGTTGTGGATGAGGGAATGAACTTTTAAAAGGGAATCTGCTTTATGCAGGCCCTCCCTTGTAGGGTTTTTAAAATACAAGGTCATCAAATTTAGAGCAGAATGGTGCTGAGAACTTAGAAAGCTGGGACATGGAGCACAAAAGTCTGAGCAGGAGGGGAACCTAGAACCTAGAAAGGCAGAACAGAATGTCAGAATAGAGAACTTAGAATTTCAGAGTTGGGAGGGAACTTAGAACATAGAGCTTAGAAGGTCTGAGCTGGATGGAACCTTGGGATATGGAATGTTAAAACATAGAATACAAAATGTCAGAGCTGGGAGGTTCTATAGAACAGGGAATGTCAGAGCTGGGAGGGAGCTTAGAACAGGGAATGTCAGAGCTGGGAGGGCCCTTAGAACAGGGAATGTCAGAGCTGGGAGGGCCCTTAGAACACAAGATGTTCAGACAGAACATAAAATGTCAGAACTGGAAGAGCCTTTGGACAACATCTATTTCCAATAACATCGTTTTACAGAAGAAGACAGAGCCCCAAGGGGTTAGGATTAGAGCTGGGAGGGACCTTGGGGTCCAGCTGCCTCATTTTTTTGCAGAGAGAGAAGTTGAGGCACATCGGAGATGTTAAATGACTTAATGGGTCACCCACGCAATAAGTGTCTGAGGTGGGATTCAAACCGGGTCCACTGACCTCAAATCCAACTCATTTGGAGAAACCCCTCAACTATCTCCATCTATTCTTGGGGAATAAAATGCAGAAATATAAGCTGCATGGATGAATGCTGTGAGGTGGGCTGGTGGCTGCTTAGAATCCAGAAGAAAAGGACATCAAAAGAATGGAAGCTCCGTGAGGACAGGGACCCTTTTATTCCTGTCATCGTACCCCCCAGGGGCTGGCAAGTAGGTTTTTCATAGGATCGTAGGACTCAGAGTGGAAGGGACCTTCAAAGCCCTTGTAGTCCAACCTCCTCATATCACAGACAAGGAGACTGAGGCTCAGAGAGGTGAAAAGTTGCCCAGAGTCAGAAGGTGAATGGCAGAGCTGGAATTCAGACCTAGGTCCCTGAGTCCAAATCCATGCTGCTTTCCCAGGACGATGGTGTTCCATTGCATGGAAGACAGGCACCTGTGCTGTGGCAGAGGTGATGTCCTTGTGCACGGCAGGGGCAATGTTTGTGCTCCATCTCTCCTTCCTTCTTCCCCATCCCTCCAGGACATGATGAAGTGTTTCTCTCATACAAATCCCAAGTCTCTTCTTATCTCTCTCTAGTTGGATGCTTGGCTTTGAGGAGCACAAGCAAAAGACGGATGTTCACTATCGCTCGCTGGGCGGAGAGGGAAATTTTAACTGGCGGTTCATCTTCCCCTTCGACTACATACCTGCCGAACAAATGTGCGCAGTCTCCAAAAAGGTGAGAGCAGCCCCTCACTCTGGGTCGCTGTCAGCATCTCCACCGCCCCCTTGCAAGGCACCAGGACCAACTTGGAACCTATTGGGCATACGCAGACAAATGCCCTGGGGAGCCTCCATTCAGTGGGACAGCACAGTCTGTCCTCCCAGGAGCCCTAGGATGAGGGGGAGGAAGTTCTTGGTATCGTGAGGGAGAACAGGACACATATCACCCACAGAGACGTGTGAGTGGTGAGCTGAAACTGACTAGGAATAGTGTAAAGTCGTACATTTGGGTTTAAAAAATCAGCTTCACAGAGACAAAATGGGGGTGGCATTTCTAGATAGCAAAATCTCTGAAAGAGATCTGAAGGTTTTAGTGGATCACAAGCTCAACATGAGTTAGGAGCCAAAAAAGCTCCTGGGAACTTAGAGAGGCCCAGTGTCCTGATGGGCAACTAGGTGGCACCATAGTGCAGAGAGTGCTGGGCCTGGAGTCAGAAAGTCTTATCTTCCTGAGTTCAAATCCAGGCTCAGACATTTGCTAGGTGTATGACCCTGGGCAAGTCACTTCACCTTGTTTGCCTCAGTTTCCTCGTCTACAAAATAAGCTGGAAAAGGAAAAAGCAAACCACTCCAGTATCTTTGCCAAGAAAACCCCAGATGGGGTCGTGAAGAGTCAAAGATAACTGAAAAATGACTGAATAGCAGAAAAAGTATTCTCTCACTGGGTCAGATCACATCTGCAGGACCTTTTTTCTTTTTGCAATGAGATAATGTAAACCCTGCAAGCTCCTTATACAAACTAGCCCTCGTTATTACTGGTGCCACATTTGAGGAAAGATCATAGGGGCTGAAAGGGATTATAGAGGGTTATATATATTATAGAGGTCTAACTCCCTCACTTTACAGATGAGGAAACTGGGGTGCCAATAGGCTAAGTGACATACGTAGAGTCACGTAGCGAGTAATTCAATTCACACTCACTCTCTTAAACACAGAGCCCTTCCAGAGGCAGGTGAGTGGGATGTTAAAAGGTCTTGAGAATGGGCCATATAAAGATCAGGTTGGGAAGAAGCCTGGTGTAGTAGATAGAGTGCCACATTCAGAGTCAGAGGGACCTGAGTTCAAATGTGACTTCAGGCACTCACCATCTGTGTGACCCTGGGCAAGTCACCTAACTTCTTAGTCCCAGTTCCCTCATTTGTAAAATGGGGATGATACCAGCAACCGCTCTCAGAGTTGTTGTGAGGATCAAGGAGATATTTGCTAAGTGCTTTGCAAACTTTCATAATCGTTATCTTTTACTATTGTTATTTTAAAGCATGATCACCAGGCTGTTTAGGGGCTTCCCCTGGCCAGGAAGGTAAGGTGTGGAGGAGTGTCTGTTACAGATATGTTGGTAGCCTTCCAGGGTACAGTCAGGAGGGGTGAACCTTGACATATGAAAGGGGGGAAGACAGGACCGAATCCCTTGCATTTCCCCAGTGATTAAGTCTCTGGAGACGGGTCTAGAGCCCCTGGAGAAATTTCAGAGGGTTCATGAACTTGGATGGGAAAATTTTGTGTATTCTATTTTCAATATACTTGGTTTCCTTTGTAATCCTTTGCACCTCATGCATTTAAAAGCATTACTCTGGGAAGGCGTCCATGACCTTCACTAGATTGCCAGAGGGGTCTAGGACACAAACACACGGGTCCTGAGAGGTGATCGCTTTGTAAATATGTCACTGGGCTGCTGGGTTTGGGAGCTGGGGCAGAGACTGAAGAGTTGGGCTCGTGGGATGCTTGGCTGAGTTTTCTGTGTGTTGATTTTCCATGACAACCCCCTCCCAGGTACTAACGTTCCCTCCTTCCCCCAATTAATTTTGTCCTTATTTTTTATACTTATGTCCATATGTCCATCTATTCTATACTTATGTCCGTTTTTACACATATGTCCATATGTTGTCTCCTCCAGTAGAATGGAAGTCCCTTGAGGTCAGGGACTACTTCATTTCTGTCTTCATATCCCCAGTACCTGGCACAGAATAGATGCTTCATAAATGTCAATTGATTAATTGACATGATTGTCACCTTCAGGTGTTTGAAGGGATGTATTGTGGGAAAGGGGTCAGCCTTAGTCTGCTTAGCCCCACAGGCTCTGTGTCAGGAAAAAACAACATTCTAACAATTATTGCTGTCCCGAAGTGGAATGGGTTGCTCTGGAAGATAGTGAGGCTTCCCTTCGGGGAGGTATTCAAACAGAGAGTGGAAGAGCATTTGTCTGGTGTGTCATAGTGAGGCTTCATTTTCAAATATGGTTTGAACTAGACAGTCTCTGAGGTCCGTTCCAAATCTGAGACCAAGGAAGGAATCAGGGCTCACTGAAGAGTCAGCTCAGGAAGAGATGCAGGAGATTCTGTGATTCCTCTCACCACACTCACGACTGCCGCCATCACTGTTGCCATCATCATTATCATTATCCCTATAGCCATTGCTACCATTATCACCCTCATCCCCACGATCAACCTTCATCTTTGTAGCCAAGATCACCATTGTTGTCCTCAGCCCCATGACCACATTCATTTGTCATCATCATCATCACCATTCCTACCATCACTGTCGCCGTCATCACAGGCACTACTCTTTCCATCCAGATCCCATAGTCACCACTCCCTGCACTCCACCACTGCACCATATCCTGTTTCTAATTATATTTGCCTGGGTTTGAATCAATGCAGCTAATTGGGAGTTTTGAAATGCTACTCTAATGGGAACCTCAGTCTTTAATGTCAATGGGTTGATTAATTCTAAAGCCATTAGCCCTATAATTACTCTGCTATGACAAGTATGGAAACGGACAGATGGGAAACAGATGTGGGCATGAGAGGTCAGGGAGCCATATAGGGAAAGCACGTATGGGGAAAACCATCCTGGTAGCCCAAAAGAAGGAGGAATGCCTTGGAAGAAAAGAGAGATAAGGTTGTGCAGTTGTGCGATCTCTTCTCCAGGCCTCAGTAACTTCACCTGCAAAATGGGGTAGTAACATTTACAGTGCTAACCCTCTAGAGTTGTAAGAATAAAATAAAATTTATTCATTCAATAAACCTTTATTATAATGTATTTAAAGTGCTTTTCAAACCTTAAAATATTCAATGAAAGCATAGGGTCATAAAACTGCCTCTGTCATCACTGGCATAGTCAGTCCTTAAGGTGTTGTGAACCACTTTACATATATGATCTAAGTTGATCCTCATCACACCCCTGGGAGGATCACCCCCATTTTACAGATGAGAAGTCTGAGGCACAGAGCAGTTAAGTGACTTGCCCAGGGTCACACAGAGTTGGTAGATATCTGAGTCTGGATTTGACTCTAGGTCCAACACTCTATCTACTGGGTCCCCTTGCTGCCTCTCACTTGGAGAAGTAACGGGGGCATTGTGGGTGGATGTCTCATTCCACCTAGGGCTCATATTGAACTGTGTGATGCTGGGCAAGTCACTTAATCCCTCAGACTATGAGTAACAGAATCATTGCTGGTCTAGTTCTGTGGAGGGAGTTTACACACTGTAAGTTCCTTCGGTAGCTCCCCCAACATGCATTCACTTAGGGAGGTCTGTGCTCTCTTTGTTCTTCTGCACCTTCTTTCCTTTCCGGGGGTGTGGAATGGCTGCTGCTACTCTTGTTGGGGTATGGTGTGCTTCCTCATGGGTGCCCCAACCATTTGCTTCCCTCCTCCACCCAGCAGGACCCTGTCTAGCCTAGAAAAGGAAAGAGTCAGGGAGGAAGTGAGAACTGTCTTGAGGTGTCTGAAGGGCTTGTCATATCCAGGAGGGGTCAGATGTGTTCTTTTTGGGTAGAAGTTGCAAAGACACCACTTGAGGACGATGTTGGGAAAAGTCGCTAAGAATGGCAGTATCTCAAAGGAGAAGGGCCAGCCTGGAGAGGCGGTGGGAGGTCTTCTGTGTCTGGAGGTCACTGAGAGGAGGTTGGGTGACCACTTGTTGAGCATGTCATGAGTGGGTTGGACCAGGCATTGGTCGAGACCCCTTTGAGCTCTCGAGTTCTGTGACTCCGTGAAGTGACTAACCCACAGTCATCCTGCTAGTAAGTGTCCAAGGTGGGACTTGAACCCAGGTCTCCTGACTCTCATATTAGAATTCCTCCTGTGCCACACATGTGTAGCTGTCTAGATGGGACATTTCTGTCTTTGAATTAGAAGCAGGTGTAAGGGTACCCTGAGGGAGGAGAGTTGAGTCCCCCATGGGTCTGCCTTTCCAGGGGTTGCCAGCATCCAGCCTTCTGGCAGGTGTGGCTTCCTGACCAGGTCAGGACACAGCACCTCAGAGAGGCCTCAAGGAACCAATTACCCCCGTCCTTTAAATTCCAAATAGCTGAGTACAAGGTGAAAAGCTGTGGCCAGAAACCACAGAAAGGGCCTGGTGTGTAGACCATAGATGGCAGAAAGACAAACAAATATATATGGAAAAGCAGAGCTTCAACAAGACGTCTGATTGCAACCTAAGAGCGTTTTTTTGCTTCTTATTTTATTTTAAAAGGGTTTTTTTTAGCTACTACAACCAAAGTTGAGTTTTCTACTTATAAACAGGGAAATACCTCAAGTAGAACACAGCTTAAAAGAAACAACAGCAAAAAAAGCCTTCCCAAGTAGCAATTAGCGTGCCTTGTTATAAGGTCTGCCTTTCTAAATATACTTGTTTGTCCCTCTCCCATGTGTGGGTCGTGCCGGCCTCTCTCCTCGTCCCCACATCTTTTCACCTTGTCCTGAGTTACCATTAGGAATTGTGAGGACCACAGTTAATTACATCCTCTGGGCCTCTCTGTTTTTGGCCCATGAAATCCAGCGCCTTCATCCGGCTCTTTGCCTCTTCCAGACTAAGACCTTTCTTTCGGTGGAATGAACCCCGTGGCTTCTCTTTCCCTTCTCTCTTTCTTTCTGAGGAGCCTTGAACGCCTGTCTAAAACTGATGCATAGGCTAGAACTGCCTGCCCTTGGCTCCTAAGTGGTTCTAACTCCCT